CCTACCTACCTACCTACATACACACATACATACATACCTACGTACATACATACATACATGCATACATCCATATAATATGTATATGGTTGGAGCTCTCTGCGTAAAGCCTGTAGTATTTTTGCCCTATATATCCTGTGACGCCCTCTTCAAACTCTATGAACCCCCTATACAAGGCAAACAACCTTAAACCCGACAGCATCTTTAACCAACCAGTGCTTTTCCTTTCTCTGGGGGGTCAGGAACTTCAAGCCTACCTAGACCCTGAAGTGTATGATTTTGCTTATGCGCTTAGTTTCTTATAGATAAGATCCTGTGGACCCGTCGAACCGACGTGGGACCCCAATGTACCACCCTGGCTAGTAGGATCCCTGTTGTACTCAGCCTCAAACAAGGTGCGTACAGCAAATCCTCCAAGACTCTACAAACACTTCAGTAAGCCTTTTGCAACAACAAAACCCTGAAAAGCCTCACTCAAGCTAAACCCGAAAAAAAACCCAAACCCCAAAACCCTAGATTACAAAGCCCACCACTCGAATCTCCTAGACCCCTAGACCCCCAACTCTAACCCCCGCAACCGCAAAACGAGTTCTAAACCTTATCTACCCTAAACGCTAAGCCCTGCATTTTAAACCCAAAACCCAAAACCCCTAAACCCTAAACCCTAAACCCTAAATCCTAAACCCTATACCCTAAATTATAAACCCTAAACCCTAAACCCTAGACCCTGAACCCTAAACGAGCCCCGCTACAGGCCTCCACCCTTGGGGTTGGCGCAAGCGGCGTGGTCACCTGGGATCTGCGACCGAAGCCATGTGATTTCAGGGTATATCTAGTGATCTCAGGGTTTAGGGTTTAGGGTTTAGGGTTTAGGGTTTAGGGTATATCTAGTGATCTCAGGGTTTAGGGTTCAGGGATCTGTTATCTGGGTGGTTGTCAAAATTATGGTCCCTTTTTGGGTCCCTAATATAATACGGCACCTAATATTTAGGGTACCCAGAAAGGGACCCTCATTTTGACAACTATCCATATAAAGGTTCCCTTTATACAGGGTTTCTTGCAAGTTGCCACTAAGGTTTCGGAGTCGCCAGGCATGATGTATGGGCCTGAATAATTCGAATAGGGTTTTGGGGCAGGATTTACTATAACTCCATGAGGAGCTTCTAAGATAGTATTGTAAGTATTTAGGCTCCTATGTTATATCTAAGGATCTGTTAAAGGCTTCCTTGAAAGGGTATGGTAAGGTGTCGGGTTTGTGGTTTTAGGGATTAGGGTTTTGGGGTTTAGGGTTCGGTTCGGGATTGTTAAGGTTGAGGGTGTTTCTGGGGTTGAGGGTTTAAGGTCTTGGAAACAGGCAGCTGGATATGCATGACATAAATTAAATTTGATGCCGCTGCATTCGTGTCATGGTGCGGTAGCAGTAACTCTAAACCCTAAACCCGAAACCATCAACCCTGAACCCTCAACCCAAAACCCTAAACCCTAAACCCTAAACCCTAATCCCTAAACCCGAAACCCTAAACTCTAAACCCGTTTAGGGTTTAGGGTAAGTGTGCTTTCCTGCCCCGGACAGCTCGGGTTTAGGCTAGTACTTGGATCATGAGACTTAGTAAGTAAGGTGATAAGTACCTTAATTGGGGTTATAAGTAACCATAAGTATCTAAACCCTAAACCCTAAGCCCTATGTTTATGACCCTAGTTACTAAGGTGGGTCCAGTGGAACTAGCTGACGACGGTTCCTTCCGAAATCTCCAAGTCCAACAACCCCAAAAATCCCCGCAACGACTAAGGAGCTAACCTCAGAATAAGAAGCACTCTGCATATGTGTAGTTCTCTAAATTAGGGTCCCTTTTGGGGGTCCTTTTTATAAGGGTGCCGTACTATCTTGGGCCCAAAAAAGGACCCTAATTTAGAGAACTACACACATATTAATTTAAGCTGTATTCCTTGCATACGGGGTGTTGGGCTCTGCGAGTTCCGCGGAGATTGCAACACCTTATAGAACTCTTGGGTTTAGGGTTTAGGGTTTAGGGTTTAGGGTTTAGGGATTATAGAACTCTTGGGTTTAGGCTTCAGGAGCTTGCCGAAAACCAGGCAGCAGGCCACACAGGGATATACAGGTGTCTTCAACCCTAAACCCTAAACCCTAAACCGTAAACCCTAAACCCCTAAACCCTAAACCCTAAATGCTAAACCCTAAACCCTAAACCCTAAACCGATACATCCCACTGGAGATTCCCTGAAAACACAACGCGCAACGAGTTCTGGGCCCAGCGCTCTCCGGTGGAACGTGGAGGCTCCGACTGGCGTCTGACGCGGGGAGCCCTGACCGATGAGTTTCATACCCCTGGTTCTTACCCTTAGCATCAAGATAGCCCAAAAGCCTTATATAATAGGGTCTCTGGGCCCAAAAGCCTTAAAATATGAGTCCTTAGAGG